TTTGAGTTTTGAGAAGGTTGCGAGGACTTAAATTGCTGGCACAGGAGAACTGCAAGGATATAATGTCTATAATAAAGCATCACATTTATCTACTTATGCCTGCATTTTTTGAATTATCAAGCACTTAGGGATGTACAGACAATCAGACAGCTGAGTTAGCTAAACATTCTCAACCTTATTATTCTGCATAAATGCTGGAATAGGTTCCAGAATGAACCATCCCAGCTTTCTAGTTTTAAATCTGGATTCCCTTTAGTATAAAGCTAAGCTGTGGAGAGTGGGAGAAAGTATTCTTAACATTTACATGTTCCATGAATCCTGATTGCCAGCCTTGTACAGACTGTTCTGTTTTAGCAATAAAATTAGAGTAGTTGGAGGAACAAATGCCCCCTGCTTTACAAGCAGCTTGTTTCAGACATCACCAAGAGGGACCTTTGGAGGTACCTGGGTAGTTTTTATTTTACATAATTTTCAATCAAAAGGCTTCAGAATGCCAATTAGTGAAATCTGCCATAGCCCTTGAACAGAAGCTAAAGTACTTTCAGTCAAGTACAGAGATATGATTCTAATTTTGGTGAAAAATGTAAGAAGGGAGGTGACAAAAAATAAAGCATTAAATGATCATGTCTGGCATTACCAGGCCTATTTGACTTTCATCTGGGAGAGAGGCATTATGCTGTGAATTCTAGAGACATATCCTATCATTTTGTTGGACAAAGTCCCCAGGTACCTCTAAATCTTTCAGTCTCAATTAGATTAGTCTATCTAAAAGAAGGAAAAGAAATTGTAAGAGCAACTAATGCTACTACAAGTTAGCCTCACCAGTGTATCTGTACCGGGATACACAGAGATTGATCATCCTAAGGAAGAACAGCAAACACTGCAGGCTTTAGCCCTATTGTGTGAATCCCCTAGCAATTCAACTTCCCTCTTCTTTCCTTATTAAGTCCCAGGAGATGTTATGAGTAAATAAAAGCTGCAGCACTCTTAATCATCCTTCAACCCTTCCCAGCTGATTAGTATTATTGGTGCTGAAAAGCAGTGCCAGTAACATCATAACTGTGTTCCACAGAAGCTGCCCAACTGACTGGTTCTCAGCACAGTTTTCCTAAAGAAGAGGAAGCTATCTGGAGCCTGCTAGGAATAAGCTTTTATATATAGAAATGTATAAGTAATAGATATAAATTGCATTTTCTCTCTGTGCAGTCCAGTCATCAAGCCTGTACAAACTTCATGGATAATATCTCAGGTGAGAGGTATGACTGGCTGCTTAGTTACCAGAGGAAGTTTAAAAGGTGTGAACATTCCCTCAACCTCTACTACCTGTCATTCTGAAACTTTCTCTGTCAGACAGCCCCACCTGTCACTCAAGAACTACGTCTGCTTGCCTGTTTATTTTCTCACTTGGGGTTGAGGTCACTTGCCCTCCTTTTAGCTAATCAGAGGAGACAGTTGTAATCAAAGCACAATATCCGTGTTCCTGGGATGTCTTTTTTGAATAGTCTCTCTGTACTGCTCTGCAAATCTTGCAAAGTAAGGTAGACATGTACAACCAGAGGAAAAGAACAGGAGAAAAGGTTTAGTTTGAGATCCAGCTAGAGGAAAAAAGTATTGCTCAATCTATATGCTACCTGGAAAAACAGGTGTAATATTTACAATATTTACTGAGGAATTTCTCATGTGTGACAAGAAAAATATTGCTAAGTTTATTAAATGGTAGCCTTTCACAGGATGATTAAATGGATATCCTAGCACAGATGTAAAGTGCAAAAAGGAGTTGAAAGTGTTTATTTTTCAAAACAGCAAATCAGCCTCCTGACTGCTCAGAGTTCTTAAGGGACTATGCATAAGACAACATGCCAGTCTGCATGGAGAAATTATTAATTTTACTCTCTATATTTCCTCTACTAGATACCTTTGTTAGGCTCTTATAAACAGTATTAAATAGCTGTCAGGTCCTGCCTTCAAAATCAGTGCATTATAGTACCTACTAAAGCTTTTCCTGTGGAGCTGATTCTGAAAAAGAGCTTTATACTCCGGGTGGGAGATTTGTATCTGAAGGAAAGAGCAGTGAAAAAATGACTGAGTTCAGGGAGAGAAGGAGTGTCTGCCTTGTTTGCCTTTGCCTAATTGTGTAGTGAGCTGGCAGATTGCCTTACCTTGCAGACCCTTGCTCATCTTGAAAAGATTTAAGGCATACTAGTTTCAGCCTGGTCTCTCAAGACTGATTTCTCTTTGCAATGCTATTGTGATGAATCATGCATTACTATGATTAGCAGAGAGAAGTACAATTACTTTTTTGCAGCCGTGGCTGGTAAAGGATTGCCTGGAAGCCCAGATGTGACAGAGGTGGAAAAAGCGTCTTCTGGGACATGAAGGGAATGGAGAGATGGAAACTGTCACATTTACAGTAAGAAAAAAAACAAAAAAAACCAAAAAAACCAAACCAAAACAAAACAAAAAACAAAAACCCAAAAACCAAACAAACAAAGAAAAAAATAAAAAAGAAAAAGGGGAATAGGAGAAAGACTTGCTAATTAACACTACCAGGAACAGGGCCCTGACTGAATTGGACCTTCCCTCTGAGCAAGTATGACTCTTCTCATGCATAAGAACCTGCTTATCAGCAACTTTTTATAGCAGATGGTACCCCCTCAAGAGCGATTAAAAAAAAAAATAATGACAGAGACACTGAAAGATACTGAAGAAGAAAAACAAGCTATCCTGGAGAAGGTTTAATAGTATTACTAGGCAATTGGAAAGTGCCGGTCAAAATTGAAAGGAAGCAGGGTGAGGAGACAGAGTGGAAGAGAATATAATTAAGAGAAGGAGAGCATTGGCCAACTGTGTGGTAGACCCCACATGGTCTCCATTCTTGGAAAAGACAACAATCTGCTTCTTCCCAATGCTGGCTGTTTTTACCCTGCTTGAAGAAGGACACTGAGATGATACCAACGTCCTAAGAGCCTTTGAAATTCAAGTTCTCAATGGAGAAGAAATAAAATTTTAAATGGCACAAAAGTGTAACAAATTATTTTCTATTTCTATAGTGTAAACAACAGTAATATTTTGATGCCCTTAATATCTTTTTCTTGTTTGCCAATAATCTCTCATTTCTCTCATTGCCAAGGCATGAACGCTTCCAATACTTCTAAATTTCTATCAGTCTTTTTGGACCAGAATTGCTCATACCATACAGTCTCTCATAGGTGGCAGGGCAGCTTATCTGAAAGGTCCAAGCAAAGGTTTGGTGCTTGCACCATTAGAACTAAAGGTGCACTTACAGTCAATGTGGTAACTATTGTTGTTGAGTCAGGGACAGATGAAAAGACTTTAAGATGTTTAGAAGGTTTAAAGAACATTTATTAAGAAGTAGTGAGTGTTTTTACAGTCTGACTTGCTAAGGTGACTACCTCAAGTAAAAACTCTCAAAGTAAAAACTTTTCACTTTATTGGTGAACTATGAATAGCACATTCTCTAAGAACATAACTATAAACAACATGAACAGAAAGAGAGATAATAATAATTTGAATTCTTTCTCCTAACTTTCCCAGGCCAAAGCCTGAGAGAATTCTCTCTGCTCTCTCTTCGACTGAACTGAGAGCCTCTACAGGTAACCACAGAATCCTGGAATGGTATAGGTTGAAAGGGACCTTCAAGCTTATCTGGATCATTTCAATGCACCTTTCATGGGCAGGGACACCTTTTACTAGACCAGGTTTCTCAGAGCTCCATCCAGCCTGGCCTTGAGCACTCCTGAGGCTGGGGCATCTACAATTCCTCTGGGCAACCTGTTCCAGTGCCTGTAAATCCGTAAAGGGTTTCTTCCTAATATCCAATCTAAACCTGCCCTCTTTCAGTTTGGAGCCACTTCCCCTTGTCCTAAAAATGTGGCCCAGACTAGCCCACCACTGAAGACACTTAAATTACGTTGATCTGAGTGAGAATTTCAGACTAACAGGACGGACTGAGAAGTGGGGCTGACATGTTGATCCCATTTCCCTTCCATTTGACTGGAAACCCTCACTGACAGGCAATCGCATAATTATTAGGTTGGGAAATACCCCTGCGAGCATCTAGCCCGTGGTCCTCGCTCACTCTTTCTCCAAACGCCTCTAGAAGAAGACCTTGTCCCCCTGCCTCGTCCCACCCCGGGGCGCAGCGGCTCCGAGTGGGGCTCTGCGGGCGCTCCCGGCCGCTCCGAGCCGCGCTGCCGGGCCGGCGGACGGACGGATGGACGGACGGGATGGAGGGAAGAACGGGAGCAGGAAGGCGTGGAGGGAGGGACCGGCGCTCCTCTGCTGCCCTCTGCTGCGGGGCCCCGCGCCGCTGCGCTCCGCCCGAGCTCCCGGGAGACAGGAAGGACGCTGGATGCGAGGCGATGCCGCCCTGTCCCTGATGGAGCGGTTGGAGAGGGGTTCCTGCAGGGACAAAGCACGGTCCAGGAGGTGGAAACAAATCCCTGACACATTTGAGGGGTCAAAACTTGCCCCCCTATGTGCTCCCAGAGCAAACTTAAATTTAGCAGTGTTTTCCATTTTATGCCTGAAGATGATTAACACCCCAATTAAGAGTTCTGAGCGAGGAGAAACTACGAATTTAACAAGTTTTCTGCTGTTATTGAAATTACATTAATTGGAACCTAAGCGGCACCTAGGAATGCCGCATCACTCTGGGCGAGCTGGAAGGGCACAGGCGGCAGCGGCGGGGACAGCAGAGCGGGGATGCTGCCAGCCCTCCGGCACGGCTTTCCCTGCATCCCGAGGGCGCGGGCACGCAGGCGGCATGCCAGGGCATGAGCACTCGTGGCAGGCTTTACGTCTCTCCAGTTTCCCTGGGCTTCCCGGTGCTCCTGCCACATCCTCTTCCCTTTCCCTCCTCTCTCCCTCTCCCGCCTCGGGCGCACAGGCGCTGCCCTCCCTTAGCCCCGCCCCTCGGCCCATGGGCCTCCGCCGCTGCCAATCAGCGCGTCCCGCCTTTCCGACCCGCTGCTGAATCAACCGCCGAGCAACGGATTGCGGCGGCCATCGATGCCCTCGGCTTGCCCTGCCGCCCCGGCGCCGAGCGCATCCCGGTACCGAGCACATCCCGGTGCCGGGCACATCCCGGTGCCGGGCACATCCCGGTGCCCGGCACATCCCGGTGCCGGTGGCGCTTCCCCGGTCCTGGCCGGGGGATGTAGGAGGACGCGCGGCCGAAGGCACCCGGGCAGCGCCGCCGCTTGTCGCCTGCAAGGGCGGGCGCAGCCGCCGGCGCGGCCGTGTGGCTGCACGGGAGACCGGGAAGGGGCACGGCTTCTCCCCGCCCGCCGCCGGGCCCGCCCGGCTCTCCGTGCCTTTGGCGTGTGCCTGCCCGTGCCGCGGGGCCATGGAGCGCGTGTTCACGCCGCTGGAATGCCTCCTGCCCGCCGGTACGGTACCTCCCGCCCCAGCCCCGCCGCGCCGGGCGGCGGAGGGAGCGAGGGAGGGGAGCGGGGCGGCCGCGCCTCCCGCCCGCCCCTGCCTCCGCAGCCCCGCCGAGCCCCGCTGCGGAACGCCGCGCTGTGTCCGCCCGCTCAGCCTGAGCTTGGGCTCAGTAGGGCGGTTTGGTACCGTGCTCGCCCCTCTGGAGTTCAACATTGCCATTTAAACCCGAGCCCTTCGGGTTCAACCGGTGCTTTCCGCTTGCTGCCGCCGTTTTCTCGGCTCGGCCGGGCGGAGCGCTCCGGTGACACCTGTCTGTCCCTCATCTCCTACCGCTATCCCTACCCCCCTGGGGCAAGGGGTCCCCGGGCTTGGCATCGATCCCCCGTGTGCCTTTGGCTCCCCGCTTCCTGCCCGTGTGCTTTGCCCTAGAGCCACCCTTGTACCCTGCCTTGCACTTCAGTTCTGCACAGCAAAGCTTTGAGGTTTGTATTCAGGGTTTTCTTTGGTTTTCCCAAGCTATCCAATAGTATTGTGGTGTTGATATAATTTTTGACATCTGAGAGGTGAACTCTACTAATATACATCATTATGTGTCTAAAGGATGGAGCACCTGTAATAAGCACAGACTTAGCTAAGTGGCTTGTACATGGTTTGGAATAGGCACCTCTTCTTCACTCTGTTTGCACAGAGTCTAATTCAGTAGGGTTTCCAATTTGTTGTTCAGTGATACAATTATAAACAGTAAATATTTTTATCTTTCCGTAACGTGATTTAAAGCTGCATAAAAATAATTCTGGCATAGCAGCTGAATTCTAACTGACACTGCTCTTTTCTACTCTGTTCTGGCACAGACACCAGCTGCTGCATTGAGGTAACTGTTATTTATTTACTAGTAAGGTTTGTAGAAAGGGCAGAGTTTAATAGAATGCACACTTTGTACAATTCAGTATGTTTCTACAGCTAGCAGTTTAAGAGCATGTTTAAATTCATTCCACTATGGTACATTTTTTAAATCATGCTTCGCTATGGTTCTTAAAAACTTCTTCAGGATATGGTCAAAACTACTAACTTGTAAAGCTTCACTCCAGCAATTCTTGCCAGAAATGTGTATTTGACAGTGTGTGGATGTGGACTTTGAGACACGCTGTTGCTTTGGCGGGAAAGAAGGAATGAGCATGTAGGTGAGATTTTAATGGGTGAACTTTGATTCATTGTGACATGATCTCCTCTTATATACAGTAAATGATTACTAAGTATATAATAAGGCCAAACAAGAAGCTGCCTTTTGTATTGATAAGAGCACTGGAGTGCTTGCCCTACAAGAACTGGATGAGAAAACTGGGCTGTTTAGGCTGGAGAAGAGGTTGCTGTGAGGTTGTGTGGAGACCTCATAGCAAGTGCCCAGTATATGAAGGGGGCTACGGGGAAGCCAGAGAGGCACTCTCCATCCTGTAACTGTAGTGATAGGACAAGGAGTAATGGGCTCAAATTCAAATAGGAGAAATTTAGGTTATAGATATTAGGAAGAAATTCTCTACTGTGAGAGTGGTAAGACACTGGAACAGGTTGCCCAGAGAGGCTGTGGATGCCCCAACTCTGACACTGTTGAACACCAGGTTGGATAAGGCCTTGAGCAACCTGATTTAGTGGGTGGTGTCCCTGTCCACCACAGGAAGGATTGGAACTAGGTAATCTATAAGGTTCGTTCCAACCCCTTAACATTTTATGATTCTATAAATTTATCCCTGTGGAAGTACAAGCATTGCTGTTTGTTTATAAGATAGTTGCCTTTGATAGACATTGTACAATGCTAGGGCTACCATATGTCCTCAGTTTCCAGGAGTTGCCTGTCTTCTTCTTTGGTTATGTCCGGTTGGATTTGAAGATTGGAGATGTTTGTTCAGTTTTCTTGTGACCCACAGCCTTCTCATACCAGAGGCTCCAGCTGGATGTAAAGAAGCCTGCTTCTCTGAAAGAAAAGTCTGCTGCTTGCCTACAGATCAGTTGGTTATACAGTCTGTGCCTGTAAAATGCACAGTGGTACTTCATCAGGATCCTTGTCATCATTACAGACATTCATTACTGGCATTACCAACTGAATTAGCCTGCTCAAAGTATTCAATGCTGAGCAGATTTATTTGGCAATTCCACCATTTAAACTCTGGTATCCTGCTTGGGGAACTCAGAAATAAGGTTTTCAAAATTGGATAGCTAAAATAAGCCTCCCAAATTCTTCTGGAGAAAGTAGCTACTGGTAGTTCCTCCATCTGTTTGCTTTATTGGCATAGGTATTTAAGTGTCCAAATAGTATAAAGCTAATCAATGAAGAACATGCCAGTTCCTAGAAGCTAAACATAAGCTTACACAATAGACTCTTTTTGAGGCCGTTGAAGCACTATGGATCTTCCCCCTTTCCTTCAATACTAGAAATAATATTATGTATAGCAGTGTGTGACTGTGTTTATAGTGGGGACACTGAAAGATTACTCGGCTATGTTCGAAAATTATGAATTACTTTGTTTCTCTTTTTGAGTTGTTCGGAAATTATTCTTTTATTGATACAGGATAGAGTGAAACACTCCCAGGTTTTAGAACATTATAATATTAGATACCTGAACTGGAATTTTAGGGACATGTATGCCTTGGTAATTTTAGTCAGTGTAGTTAGAATGAGTTCTTAGATTGTACATCTCTCTCTATCTCACCTGATTGATGTTAAAGTAGTAGATATTTGAGAACTGCTGTGCTAACTAGTATGCTCAGGGACTTTGAACATTATTCAGTCAAACAGTTGGAGCACAGTTGAAAATCACCACAGTACAGTCAGAACACCGTGCTGTGGACTTTAGAACTATGTTGATTTGCTTAATGTAGTTCAGAATTGGTAACAAGATAGAATTTAAAGTGGGATTGAGTCTAAATTGCACACTGAAATAAATATATTTTCATTTCCTCATGAAATGAAACCTTTAAAAAGTCTCGCAGAAGGCTCTGCCACAGAGACCTGTACACTGTGTGAAAGGGTCAGGCAGACAGGCAAGGCTCTTGTAGAAGGCTCATAATGATGTCACACTACAGCTTGTGAGTTCATGACAAGAGTAGCTTAGCTTATCTGGAGCATCCTTTGATAGACTCGACATTTCCCTCCTGCTGCTTACACCCTTTTCTTGCACTGTTATTGCCTCCTGCTGCTTGTCCCAGACTGTGCTGCAGGCACTTCTGCAGAGAGACAAGTGTTTCTAATTTATTATTTTAATACTGTGAACTTTGGGAGCTGAGTGTGCTGTGCTTGTGACTGCTTAACAGTGGAAGTACTGTAGCATCCTATAATAAGGTTGTCCCTGAATACCACTTGAGATTTTGAGAAGGGCAGAGTGCCAGTTTGCTAGGCTGTGTTTTCTCACAGGGAACGTTTTACATTGCTTGCCGTAGCATGGCCTGGATTCTTGCTCATCTCCAGATGTGATTAATGATTCCTTGCCTTGCACAGTCCTTGAAGTGTGGCTCAGTATTGGTTTTATCAAGTGGATGATGCAGAAGGAGGATATCTTCCTCAGTTTATAATCCAACAGCTCCCAGTACGAGTGTCTTGCCTTGCAGAGGTGGAGGTGTTGCAAAGAAATGTCAAATCTTATTTATCCCTCTGCTCTCTTCTGTGCCTTGCTGAGGGTATGTTGGGGGTTGAGCTTGCTCTGAGTGACAGAGGGCCTGTGCTACCAGTCAAAATTGGTTTCCCTGTCCTCACTTCTCCATGCCCCGAGTCAAATGGACTCCTGAACTGTGTTCAGAACTGGTGGTTAAGATGTGCTGTTCTCAGAAGTGCTGTCCTTATTTCACTGAAGCAAGGTCATCTATATGCCATGAGAGACAGATCCACAACAAATAGGACAAAGGCTGCTTCAGAATTATGGAGAAAATATATAGTCATCTCTTTGTGCAAAGGGACTATAAAATTCTGCATTGAATTTTAAGCAAAGAGAACAAGAGGAAGTAACAATATGCTCTGAATGCTCTTCCATCATTCTGCAAGCTTGATTGTCTCTTGCTTTACTCTATGTCTTCTGGAAATGTTACTGGCTGTAAACAAGTTACCTCTGAAAGGACTGCATCACGATATTCCTTTTAAATGCCTGAAGCTTGAACTTCTTCCTTAATGTTCCCTTTTATGTGACACTGAGGATTTGAAGTTATTTTGTGAAACAGTAACATGTTTGCCATTCAGTGAATGGCCTCTGGCTGGTACACGTGCTGATGACTGTTTAAATATCCCCTTTACTGGAGCTCTGCATGGTATCTGTGATACATTATCATGTCATCTAATTCACAAAATTCAACTTGATGATCTCTGTCAGTTATTGAATATAAAGGTGTATGGAAAAGGTGTGGAGTCCCAAACTATTGGATAGCTCTGCATTTTTGAGGATTTGTGCCACAGCTGTTGGATTAGGCTAGTGAAGTTTTCAGGTGAATCAGGTATTTCAAAAGCTGTTACTGAATTCACTTAAACAGAAAAAGTGTTAACACGGGTTTCACTTCTTTTAAGACTGTTACTGGCATTCCTCTAATAAAATTAGGAAGGACTTCCATTGGCTGTTACATTGTTGTCTTTTTAATTTAAATACTTTCAAAATGCTTTTTATTTATTTTTCTGTGAATGTTGCTGACCTGCTCTTGTTCTCCGTTTCATTTAAGTAGCAACACCATTAATGTAGTCTAGTTACCTGAAACTCATTAGTTTGTTTTTGAAGTAGCTGTTAATATTCACCTGCTCAGGCCCTGCTGTTTGCTAATCTGTGCTGGGTCAGCATTTGTTTTGTAAGTGTTATTGTATAGATTACTTACAGGTGCACTTATGACTGAAGTATTACAGGTAGAATGGCATTAAAAGACACATTCATTGTTAACCTCACCACTTTCTTTTAGATCTTTGCTTTCACTCATGGAAAGCTTTTGGAGTTCTTTATATATATATATATATATATATATATATATATATTTTAATGCT